TTACTAAAAAGGTACCTAGTAGAATCATAAATATAAGCATACCATAAAATAATTGATGGAATAATAAATGAAACATACTAGTAATGACATCCGGTGTTGCCCTCGCTTCCTCTGTAGTGACCTGGAAAGCAAGACCTCGTGCCCCCCGGGGGCTCCGCCCTACCATAGCATCCATCCATTATCAGAAGGGTAGAAATAGTTGGTGCCTACATGGGCCTAGAAACAAGCAAGGGACATTGTGCATTCACATGGCCCACCTTCTCATAGTGATAACAAATCCTGCTACTCGGCGGAGGAGCCTGCTGACGACAGTCCTTTGCAAAGTGTCCCAACCTGCCAAAATTGCAGCATGTAGAAGAAGAAGACCAACAAAAACCCTCATGAACCTTGCCTCACTTCCCATAAGTGCGGCCCCTCTGTCCCCCAGAACATAAATCAGCGGGCTTGAACCGCTTCGCTGCCGGTTGTGACTGAACATCAGCATGTCGCTGCTCCCTCGTCTGAATCTCCATCTCGATCTCTCACCTCCTCGCGACATACTAAAGCTCGAAGAGGGTACCGTAATGTTAGGTGGACATGAAGTGACGAATATCAGTCTTGAGCATGCTCAAGTACCGAGTCATCTAAGCCTGCTCCCAAGCAGTAAACTCAAAACAGAAAAGGTCCTTATATGTGAACATCTTGGTGATCTTTGTCACCGTCTCGGTCGTCTGACTCAGATCCAGGTACTCCTGAGCCAATCTCTCCCTCTCCAATAGGGGACATACCTCGTACGGAACATCTCTAAGAACTGCTCCCAAGTAACAACAACCCTTTACTTAGGAGAGTAAGAACCAGTCACCAGTCTCCACCAATCCTTCGCCCCTAACCGGAGAAGGTTCAGGGTGAACTTGACCTTCTGTTCATCTGAAAAAGAACATGTGAAGAAACAACCCTCCACATCAGACAACCACCTCATCGCCACAATCGGGTCCTTGACCCCATCAAAATCTAGGGTTTTGTATTGTTGAAGTCTCGATACTGTAATGCTCTCTCCCCTCGAATCCCCACATCAACAACGACTGTGGTAGCTGCAGCAATAGCAGCCTCAGAGAGGGCAGCATAGCGGTCATCAAATAGCTCAATCATAGAGGTCTTGATAGACTCAAACATGAAACATCCCCAAAAATCAGAGTAAATATTTCATTTTTCAAAAACAACCCAATGACCATAATTGTTTACAAAGCATTGTTTCAAAAGTGATAATCAATAATCAGAGTATCCCAAAATCCATATAACATAAAACTGGAAGGATGTGCACGATAATGCCTTCACTTTGCCACGATCATCTGAAGTACCTGAAACAATAAACTGAAACTATAAGATAAAGCTTAGCGAGTTCCCTCAAAGTACCACCACACAAAACATATAACCAAACAGATATTGTGTCCACATCCTCCTAGTTGGATTACCCCTGTCCCACAACCTTACGGTTGGAATTCCCCAACCCACTACCTTTCGGTTGGAATTCCCCGGTCCATAACCTTCCAGCTGGAATGCCCTGGCCAACAACCTTTCGGTTGGATTGCCTAATACATGTTGGGTCCACAACCTCCTGGTTGGATTACCCCTGGCCCACAACCTTATGCTTGGAATGCCCCGGTTTTTGACTGACATCACAGAGCAGTATAGTCTCAACCCCACCATACCATGTCGACATATACAAAAAAAATAACATATATCCATCAACAGATAATCATATAACTAGTCAACAGACAAACATGCAGATCTACAAATTACTACAACATAACAACATCCTATATACCAAGAAACAGATTATAACAGATCACTACAACATAACAACATCCTCTAAGATAGGATACATAACTTAGTAAGACGGCATTGGTGCCTTCGGCCTACAAGTACAGTGAGGAACAACTCTCCTCTCAGTCTGAAAAGATTTTTGAACAAGACACTGCTCTAAATATCAGCTCTACCGGTCATCTATTCATTGGAACATGACCAAAATTAACTTATAATCAAATTACCCAAAATACCCTAGATCAAACTTGGTCAAATCCTAGTCAAAGTCAAAAAGTCAAAAAGTTAACTGAGTCAAATCAGCTGAGTACGTTTGTAACATCGCGATGTCAAGGTAATTTCAATTTCAACCCTATGTTTGAATAATATTGTATTTTAGCCCTTGGGTATGAAAGGATTGCAAAATGGCCCATAGTGGCAATATGGTAGTTTTATCCAGGAGTAGTACGCTAAGCGTACGTTGTGTACGCTAGGCGTACACCTCGTACGCGGGGCGTACGTGAAGAAAGTGCAAACCCTAATTTTTAGGGTTTGGTCCATATTTAAACACCATTATAGCCTCATTTCTCATTCCTTCATCAGCCTCCCTCTGTGAAAAACGACCCCCAAGCAAACCCTAGGTGAGAAGAGTGCATTTTGAGCCCATTAGAGTGTTTTGGTGGTGTTCTTGAAGAAGGAAAAGGTGGTGAGAAGATCTTGGAGCTTGGAAGCATCTTGGATATGAGTTTATCTTCTTGTTAGCAACCTCCAGGAGGTATAAAGTTCACAACTTGATCACTCCATCTTGTATATCTAGCCATTTCTTCCTTAGGGCACTTTTTGGTCCCAAATATGATGATTCTTGAGCATGGAATGTTCTTGATCAAATAAGTCGTCATTTCAAAGCTTATGGGGGGGTCTTAAGTCATAAAAATGTGGTCTTGATGGTTAGTTTCACTCCATGCATGCTATAGAAGGTCTTAATACATTAAGATTTTTAGATTTTGTGTTTTAAGCACTTAATGGACATGCAAAGTCATAAAGTTGGAAACTTTATGACTCATGATGGTATTTTAGCCTTGGATCTGCAATTGGACATGTTAAGTCGAAGAAATAAGTGCTTAATGGACTAAGAGGATGGTTGTTGCGTATGTTGGGCGTACTGCAAGGTACGGTGTGCGTATGCAGATTTGGCCCCGATGCCTCGGACATGCTTGTACGCCCCGCGTACCTCCGGAGTACGCCCCACGTACGAAGCCTGAGTGAACTGGTGAATTACGCAGAGCTTCTCCTTACACCTTTTTCTCAAAGACCTAGATGTACATAATGCTAAGTCTTAGTCTATTATCCCAAAGGTTTAGATTCCTCAATAATCCCAAAGTCTACTTCAAGATTTAAATAAGGATCAACCAAGTAGGATCATATCGGAGGTAGGGTCCATTTGGTATACAAAGTATACTGTTTGGAAATCCCACTTTAAACGCCTCACTAAATCCAGCCTAGACATTACTCCCATAAGTAGATCAAGAAGTATAACGACTTGGAATCATTGATAAATCTTACTTCTAAATTCCTAGTAATGACTTATAACTATTATTATAAATTAAACGGAAGCAGAGTAAGTGTAGCTCACTTACAGAGTACTATAGCTGAGAACCGGGATCTAAGCGGGCAGAATACTGACTCGGGATCTCTTAATCGAAGGCTATTACTCAGATGAGTACTGAGGGGCTTCTCTGTAGGCTAGAATGAAGGAAAAATGGGCCCAATGCTGACTATTTCAGTGCAAAGTCGATTGAAATGGTGTGAGGATAGAAGAAGAAATGAGCTGTTATTTATAGGGCGGAGAATCCTCATGTGCGCTACACCAAGAGGTACGCACCGCACACTCCGAACACGTCGATCCTCTTGTTGCTGACACGTGGCACTCGTCGGCTGGAGCAACGCGGCCCTTCTAGAAGCACGCACGCGTACGAATTTTTAGATTTTTAAAATTTCATATTTTCTCAATACGAGATCCATTTTTTGACATTCTTTATATCCACGTATAGCTCTCGGTGGGATATACAACTTTCGTTTAGACTACGTCGGCAAATTTTGACTTCACTACTACAAAATGAGTCTAATGCGACCTTTTAGATGCAACTTTTTCATAAATGTTGCATTTGATTATAAACAAAGTCTCATTGGACAAAAAGGTTGCACTAGAAGATTTAATGCAACTTTGTTTAAAAAAGTTACCGATTTTATTAAAATTTGCAACTTTTCTTTTAAAAGGTTGCAAATTTTATTGAAAATTGTAACTTTTTTTAAAAAAGTTACAAATTTTAATGAAAATTGCAACTTTTTAAAAAAAAATTGCAAATCTTATTAAAAATTACAACTTTTATTACAAAAGTTACATTGTTAATTTTAATTCTCTCAATATTTTTTTAATTTCCCTCCAAATATTTTTAGAAAATTTTATTTTCCTCTTTATGTTATCAACTTAATTTTTTTTTCAATAAAATTGTAATTGTTCACATTTTGTAACGACCTAGATTTTCGTCCGTCGGTGCCATAAGTTTTCGTTACTTGAATATTTACTTTTGTGTAAATAGTTTCGGTTTTAAGGTTATAAATCAAAATAAATTAAATAAACGTGATTTTAAATAATATCTAAAAGAATTAATCAATATTTAAAAGAATATATAATTTAATCAAATGGTTTTTGTGGGAAAATAAAGTAAATCATTAAAAATAATAAAGTTTAGGGGCCAATTAGTCATTCTTGAGAGTATTGCATGAAATGTTTTTAGAAAAGGAGGTCTAATGTGTCGATATGTCTAACATAGGGGCTAGAGCGGAAATATCGTTTTATGAACTCAAGCGGCAGGAGAAACTGTCGATCTCTATTCCTCCTTGTTCGTGGGTTACGTACACCTACTCTAGCCCTAAAAAAACGAACGCATCATTTTTTGAGGGTTTCTGCTTATGCGTACGTGAGAGAGTGAGAGAGAATCGATTGGGTGAGGGTGAAGGGCGTCGGCTGTGGTGTTTTTTTCTGGCGAGGGTGCCAATTTCGGCGACTCTTTATTCGTCTAGGGTTCCGTCAAAGCCTCCAAGGGCAGCGATTTGGTGGTGTATTCATGTTATTCGATATATTTGGTAAGTTTTCCTAGCTTGTGTGGTGTTTTTCTTCTTTATTTGATCAATTTCTGTCGTCAGCACCACCGGCAGCCATGGTTACCGGATTCTGCCATCACACCACCACCTTGTTGTGTGGTTGTGTTTGTCCCTATTCCAACACCATGTATGTTTTGTTAATGGGTTAATGGGGTTTGAATGCAAGAGTATACTTATACTATAAATTCATGTATTTTTTATTCGCATAGTTTTTATCTATATTAAACGATATTGAACCTCTTAATTAATCAATTAATTCATGACTCAACAGCCCTATTAAGACATTTATGTTTTTGTTAAATGTTATTCCATATGTCTTAATGTGTAGCCTATTGAGCTTTCAAATGGTAGAAGAAGATATGAGTGTTGGATTGATGAGTGAGTAAAAGCATCGTATTTACAACCTTGTTGTGTCATCTTTTTGGACTTTTCATTAAGTACTCAAAATATGTCTTAATACCTCTATTCAAGACTAATTGTGTGCAAAATGGAATGACTTTGAGTCATTTGAATTATAGGTTAAAAAACTCTAGTAATAAATAGCTAAAACACAAGAAATAACAGCGTATTTATACAATTATTTTTAAAAACCCAGAAAAGCAAAGTAAACCAACTTATGCTCATTATAGTATCATACTCCTTGTACGATAAAAAAGTACATGGCTATAATTGTAGTGCACTGCTATAATGTAAAGTTAATTGGTGTATTTGGTCAGTTGAGTTATATATAGTGATGTGTATATAGAAACGTTGTTCGTAGGCAAAGGAAATACGCAAGTCTCTAAAAAATATGCACACGACTGGTCTAAATACTTTTGCTAGAATTCGTGACGAGATGGTAATGTTTTCAGTTTGCTTCTGAATTGTGTTTTTATTTTAGCACACTTTGATAATTTCTTGTTGATGTCTATGTTACCATGAGAATAGAAAAATGAAGATCCAAACAAGGAATACCCCATTCTAAGTCAAACGATTGAACATACACGTAAAATGACAGATGGGTTGTATATGTTGATACATATGATGACACGACAAAGGAAATTGTAAGTTTGAATTTCAGTTTCATAATATGTTTTTCCTTTTGATAGTAAACTCTCTTTTTGACGTTAAATTGTAGTTTTTTATATGTTTAAATGCAGTTTTTTAGACGTTAAAATGTAGTTTTTTAGATGCTAAAATGCGGCTTTTTAAATGATAAAATGCAAAAAAAAAAAAAATTATTTTAATCTATTTATTTATTTTTTACATTAAAAACAACCTTTTGATAGCAGATTTTTGGACATCAAGTGGCTGTCTTTTACACAATAAAAGAAAATTCTTTTTTCTACATTGAAATGCAATTTTTTTACAATATAAACAACTTTTTAATGGTATATTTTTTGTAATATTATCCTATTCATTTTTGAATAATCTTGTAGGAACAAATAAAGAACTACAAACCTCTAGAAGATGGAAGTGATGTTGTAGATCCTTATATGATTGTGATGAACAAAGACCATGATGGATACCGTCGACCTTATGGTAGAGACATTACTAATAGATTGATAAAAAGGTGGGTGGTGGTGATGCATCGTACATGATTCTGGTGGGACTTATGGAATAATTCAAAGCAAATGGTGTTGAAATAAATGCAGAAATAGATTCAAGAGGACCATGAAAAAAACAGGCAGAATTAGAAGTTATGCGAATAAATATTAAAAATCAACAGAAAACATTGAAGTCATGATGCGGAAGTTTATTGAACAACCTCCAGAAAGTCGATAGTTGCTAAAATGATTTATCGTCTATGTTTAATAGACATCTAGGATGTTTTTAATACTTTTTTGTGATTATAGTTGACTACTTTGTTTTGTCTTTTATTTATGGTTGTTATTTTGAATTTAGAGATGTCAAATGAGACCATTGATTATATATGGTCCATTAACATGGCCTAGACTGTTCTAGAGCGCCAGCCTGGCCTGGCGCGCTCCTGTCAGCCATGCCTGGCGTTCCCTTGCCAGCCTTTCCTGTCGCTCCCTTGCCAGCCATGCTGGGGACTCTCCTACCCGACCCGGGACTTCCTTGTCGGCCTTTCCTGGTGCGTGCCCGCCAGCCTTGCCTGGGGTTCGCCCGACGCCTCCGGGCGGCCTTGCCCAGCTCCTTGCTAGTTGGGCCTGAATTGGGTTGGCCCAAGGCCTGACCTAATTCCCCTTGACCTAATTGTTCACTATAAATAGAATAATGCCTCCTCCTCTAAGGATGACTCTTCCCCAAGTGGCTCAACCGCCACTAGACTTCCCCCATGGCTCAGCCGCCACACTATACTCCGGCCGGGTGGCTCTGCCGCCACCCGCCGCAGTCAGCCACCATACACCACCACCAGCACCAAGATGGTTCTCTCCAGCTATGGAGGACCATCTCAGATCTACCAGCTGATCTAACTTGATCGTCGGAGTCCGCTCCCGGGGAACAGTCCCTGGGGCGGCTCTAACGGCCTTGTATGTTGTGACCTCACAGATCTATCTCCAGCGTAGAAGCACTTCCTCAGAGCAGGTGGTCGGAGCTCATGTCACATCATTTGGCGCCATCCCGGACTCGAACGAGCATCCATCATCTCGTTCTTGCCCAGATTTGCTCAGATCTGTTGTTTCAGCTCAGGTTTTCCTCATATCTGTTCATTTCTAGCACCATTTGGTTCAGATCCGTTTGGCTTTTGCCAATATCTGTTCAGATCGATGTGGTTCTTGACAAGATCTTTTCAGATATGGTTAACCATCGTTTAGATCTCAAGATCTACTTCATTTTCAGTTCAGATCTCTAGATCTATTTTCGTTCTCAAGCTCAGATCTCTAGATTTGTTTTCGTCTTGAAACTTAGATCTCAAGATCTGTTGAGTTTTTCACTCATCTGAACATTTATGAAGCTTGCAAAGACATTTTAGATCTGTCAACGTTTTTAGCTCAGATCTCTAGATCTGTATGTTTTTGTTCACTTAATCATCTCTCAAGTCTAAAAACACTAACCTAGACCCGTTTACTTATATTTTTGGGGAGAAAAGAGGTTCTTAGGAGCTTTTCTCTATTTTTTGTTCATATTTTGGTGTTTTATCCAAGTAGTTTGAGAGTTGAAGAACTTTTTTCGTAATTATTTAACTTATTCTCAGTTTATGCTATATAAAATCGTTTTCAGTTTATGATTTTCTTTGTAAAACTCTTTTGAAGTTGTCTATTAGTGTTTTCTTCAAAAGCTTAGAGAAGGAAAACGAATTTCTTCAGATCTGTTTCTTGTTTATGTTTTGATAGCTTGTTGAGCAAGCTGAAGAGAAAAGAAAGTTTTATAAGAAGAATAGTTTATTAGATCCGTTTTTTGTTTTTATTTTGGGGTTTTTTCAGCAAGATGAGAAGAAAAGAAGCTTTTTATGAGTTTTACCTCATCTCTTGTTCATATATTATCAGAAAACCCTTCTTAAGTTGTGCATTTTCGTGTATATTTTTACATGTGGTAACAACTATTTGTACATATAGCTGTATGGCTTGTACATTTTACAAAACTTTCAAAAAAAAAGGAGAAGTTTTGATGGGTCTCAACCCACTTTCACTCCATGTATTTTTCAGAAAATCTCATTTAATTTATGATTTTCTGTACAAAGTTCACTCAAGTTATTTAGAAGCTTGGAGAAACAAATAAATTTTTATATAGATAGTCATCAGAAAACCCCCTTTAATCAAGGTTTTCTACGTGCAACACCAAAATTAAATCAGATTTTTACCTCAAAATTTATTATTTACCAGTCAACAAAAAAATATAAAAAAGAGTTACAAAAATGGTGTTTGTTTGTCACCTATTGGCTGAAAAAAAAAAGGGAGGGATAACCGTGTGTACTATGCACACTAAACAAAGTTGTTGTATGTGGTTCCGCAAAGCATCAACAGCTGGCACAAAAGATACAAAACCCGTGTGGGACCCGCTTGGTCAACTCTCCTTTGACTCATCCGACTCATCTCTCCCAGTCATCCATCAACAGCATCTCCAAAATCCTACTAGTTACAGCCCCGGCTACAATCCTTATTTCCCACCATCAACCTGAATGAGTAAATCAAAATCACCGGCCATCGCCATATTCAGCCCCACCTGGTCCATGAATCTTTTGGGGAAGCAGTCAACCAAATCTCCGCCACAATCAGATAGTTGTCGGCACCCCACGAAGCATCCCTGGACAACTCGATGACCACCGGCAAAAGCAACTGAAGTGTTGCCATCAACACCATCGGCCACTTCTGAGATCCGATAAAACGCACACAAAGTAGCCGCCGGCTGCCTCCAACAGACGACCCAACAGACCAGCGCTCATGGCTGAGCCAAGGACCCAACCTTCTTTCTGCCTTCGTTCCCCAGCATTCGGCAACCTAGTAGATCGACGTCGGCAACTACATTGTTGCTCCGATCTCCATTTATAGCAGACAACGAATCTCTTGGAAAATCACGGTTCCGATCTCCTCCAACCGGCAAGCCCTGACGAGAAACAAAAAAAAAAGTCACTGTGAATCTAAAAACTTAATCGCCATTGTTTTTCTTTTTGAGGGGTTTTCTCTCAGCAAATCACGAGCATAAGGAAGCAGAAGGCAAAAAACTTCTAAGAAAAAAAAAGAAGCACGTGAATTGCTAAGCAAGAACAGCCGGAGATTTTTTCTTTTCAAAATTAAGGAAAGAATGACAAGCCCACGTATGATAAGCTTTGGAGATCCAATACAAAAAGAAATAATGGGCCATTCTCGTGCAATTAATCTGTTTAAAAAAAAAAAGACAGAATGAATGAGCACTTGGGCTGATATTTACAAATGGGCTACCAATTCCGATCTGGGCTCCATCTGGGCTAATTCAACAATGATAAATGATCCACCAATAAAAACCAAGAGCTTGTGTGCTACAATTTCGCCCAATAAAATCCAATTTCAGAAGTTGCGTTGCAGTCCAAACCACTCAACATTTCAAAAAATATAATAATAATAATATAATAAATAAATAAATATAGAAAGGGAATTGGGCTGGTTGTATGTAGGCCACAACGAAAGTAAAATGCGATTTGGTTTTCCTCACTACAATTGGGCTTCTCATAGTTAATCTTGGACTTCTACCAAGTGGCTCCAACAAATCTAATTTTGGGCTTCCATCAAATTGGCATTTCGTTATATTAGGCTACATCAGCAAATAAAATAGGCTACGTTTGCAAGACAATAATCAGCAATTTAACGACGGCATGCCGCAAGCTTCGCTCAACAAACTAGATTCTAAAAAATGTGTTACGACCCAGGTTTGGACCACTCGGAATTTTCAAAAAAAAAAAAAACAGAAGAAGAAAAGAATATGAATTTGGGCTGATTGTTTGCGGGCTCTAACGGAAAATAATAACAATTTCGGGCTATGACAATTTGGGCTTCATATAAATTGGTGCTTAATGGGCTACCTCCACAATACAAAAAATGACCCAATTTTACAAAGACTAAAATCAGCCGCCTAACGTTCGCACACCGCAAGCCACACTCAGCACAATGCGCTCTCAGAATACGCGTTGCGGCCCGGATCACTCGGCATTTTCAAAAAGGGAGGGAGAAGAGTAGTACGCTACTACTACTCCATGAAGCATTTTAGAATACGATCGCGATAGAAAGGCTCAAAGTCTACTTTCTCTCATCTCTCAAGTAAATTAATATCATTTATATATATTATCTTCATTTAGTAAAAACTAAAATATTTACTAAAAGCTTTATTATGACAATCGTGGCATGCCTTTACCTTCAGTGAGTTAAGGTATTTATGCAAAGATACTAATCTACTACATAGTAGATAATCTTTTTACTACAACATCTTACGCAAAGATGTCACGTTTTGATAACTGAGTTGACAAACAATTTTCGACATAATCACACCATTTTGTCATCATTAGTTCGCAACCACTAATTGTATGCCACTTAAACATTTTATACAACACACAAGTAGTTTGTCTATACAAGTTTAAACAAAGACATATGTTGTGAACAATTTCCAAAACCGCATGCACATAAGCCATTTTAGACGCCATTATCGAACATTTATTTTACTGCCATTCACATAGTATGGAACTAGATAACTTACTATTATTGTTTACAATGGCATGTACAAACAAATGAGGCTCGAACGTGCAAGCACAAGCCAATATCATTCTTCAATCTTCCTAAAAATAGGGGGGAGTGGAAGGAGTAGCACAACACTATGCAGAGGTGTTATTTCTATTTCGAGTAAAGAGCTAAACTACGTAACGAGTTGATGTTATATACGATTGTGCATCCCTGGGAAGAGATTGGTGTTATGAGTGCAGAAGAAGCTCCATGGTCCAACACCAAACATCAACCATGTTGCCTGACTATCAGCAGTAATGGTGGCTGGCGCCAGGAAGCCTCGCGGCTCAGCTCAGTTGTCGCGTTGCCTGGATCCCAACAACTATGATACCCAACTCTTCTTAGTAACCATGCGACCCAAATCCCAGCATCCATGCTGCCTAACTCTCGTCAGCTATGATGCCCAACTTTTCCCAGTAGCAGTGCTGATTGGTCTTTGGCAGTCT